TTGATAATATAGTATTTTTTTTAAGCTTCTATGATTTTGTTTGCCTACTAGAAAATATATTATCAAATTCCAGGGAATTTGGAATTCTATATATTTTAGGTTTTTTTATAAATCTTTTTCATGCCAATAAAACCTAATTGAACACGAAAGGATACAAATGTTTATACATAAACTGGGTCTCTAATTACTTATGATGTTGGAGATAAGGAATTAGATTCACACTTTATCACTATAGTTATTTGGTTATAGGTCTCCCTCACTATATTTTATTCTTTGAATGAAAAGATTATATCCTATTTATATTTCTAGCCTCTATAGCATCTAGCACAATATCTCATACAGATAGTAGACCCTCCATATTTGTCAAGCTATCAAAATAATTTTCAAAACCTAATGAATGCCGTTTTTCTATCACTTGATAACACTTCCTATAATTTTATATTCATTCATATCTAAAACAATATCAGCAATAACATATAGAACTTACATAAATATCCTTTGGTCTACTTTAAAAATCACTTAAGTTCTATTACTATAGTCAGCAAATACTAAATAGCCAAACATTCCTAACTGATTATGTCCTCATAAAGTAATCATAAAAGGCAATTACCTTCCAACTGATTAGACAATCTCTATTTCTCACTGCCACTTTAAAAAAAATATTTGTGGGCAATCTTAATTAGCTGTCTTCTCCTTGATTATATAAAATTATGTCTAACATCTTTAACGCTGTGAATTTATAGTCAAATATCTTTATCCTTTTTAGCATCAGAAACATGTGACTTTAAATTCATAATTTATCAGCTGAGTATTCATAATGAAACTTCTCATAAATCTGTACAAGAAGGTTCTACTGTATAGTTATTAGTTGTCAAATCACATTAATACCTATGGTTGTTATGAATAGTACAGCAGCATTAGCAAACCTGAAATAAATATTTCTAAATTTGTTTTCTTTTTTCCCTTTATTTTATAGGTTTTCATAATTTTTTCTCTGGTATATGGCTTCTATTATTGCCCCAAATATTTCACAATTAGTCTTCTTCAACATGAAATTCAAATTTTTTCCAAAACAACTATTAAGAGATGCTTTTGATCTAATTTGCCAAATGATTTATATATTCTGTTTTAATTTGAGAGTGGCACTGATACATCGAATAAAACAGAATTAAAATAAAATGTGTAGTATAGCACTGTTTACGATTAAAATAATTTTCTAGTCTTTCAAATTCCCTTCTAGGGAGAAAGGATTAAATATAGAATAACAGGATGTATTTAACAACTTTATTGATATAAATAGAAAGATAATTGAGTTGGGAAATTTAAACCAAATATGTGATGGAATCCATTTTAAATTGCTTTTCTTTAAATAAAGTCTAGGCCAATCACAATAATGCACCTTGTTTCTATCACAAAATGTATTTAAATCAATTAAAAAGTTATTGCTATATATCATTGTGATTTAAACAAGCAACATAGAAAATAGCCTGTGAAGTTTATTAGTAGCTCCTGTTGAGTTCTTACTTACAAGAGACTAAAAATCACTTGCAAGGTTTTATAATCTGTGCAAATATTCATAAAGCATGATACTACTTGTGTTTAAAGATGAGTTTTAAATAATTTGGTAGTATATATTTAAATCTACAACTGGCAGTTTATGGAAGAACAAGGAAAACAGCACATTGCCAGCTACAGTTTTTAAGAAATAACATGTATGCTAACAAATTAACTTACGTTTTATAATTACAAATGGCTTCTTAACAATAGTTTAGAACCTTATGGCACTTAAGAATGCAGTATAATTTTTCTTACAAATATTCACTGGTTTTTTAGACTATAAAGAGATGGTGGACAAGTAAAAAAAATCATGGAAAAGAAAATGAAATTACTATAGTAACAAAAATAAAAGTACCGACATCCTAATAAAATGCAAGGTAATGTGTTCAAGTCTAATGGACATTTAGTAAAACATGCTAAAACAAAATGAATCATCCACTTCTTTTAAATAAGCTGTCACTTGGCAATAGCAAACCATTTTGCTTTAAAAGATCATTTCTTTAGTCAAAGTAGAACCAAATTTAGAACCATTACTCAAGTAAACAATGAGTTCCAGTTTTCCTCAATGACTTTAAAATATTCAGTTACCAAGAAATGTGGAGTAATGCATAACTGCCTAGTGCTTTATATTTAATGCATATATTTTTGTTTTTTTAGAAGGACATGTAATATCTAGCACAAGAAAGAAGATAAAAAAATGTATCTTTCTTTAAATCATTATTCAGGAACCATGGAAAGCATAGAATATCATTTAGATAATTTTTGGATGTTAACATTAGTATATTCACTAACATTTTTAATAAGCACAAGTAAATCAAGCCAGTCAAAATGAAAAATACTATCAAAACATGTCATGCAAATTTCATACAGGACATCCAAAAGAACATCGTTATAGCCTTGTTATAACTCCTACATTAGCACCATTTTTATATCTAAAAACACTTTGAAAAAGCAAACAAATGTCTTAAAACCTGAAATTATTATAAGGAGATATAAAAAAATCAATATGCACTAAGGGTGATACTAAATATTTGTCATTTATGTGCATCAACACTGGGAAGCTTGCTGTACTACTAAAAAAATAAACTGATGTGCTTAACTCTATCCATGCTTAGCATAGCAGAACTGGATAAGTAGCTTCTTCCAGCATTAACCAGCCCACGTAAAAAAGATATAAACAGTAAATATCTTTTAACAGGCCCCCAAATATCATGATAGTAAAAGCATTTGTTTTGCAAAGTTATTACAGCCCCAGCCCTAAAGCCATTTAGCAGGAAGAATGTCCAGGTGATTCACTAGAGCGTGTAATTTATACCCCTTAAAAGTACCAAAAAAGTGCAGCCCTTTATTTAAAATGTGAAGCATTTGAACTTATATCCAATAGACAGTATCAGTACTCTGTCCAGACATTCACTACACTCCAGCATCTAAACATCATTCATCCTAGTAATCATGGTGCATATTAAGGAGGGAGAGAGCTAAAAATATTTTTAAAAACCAAGTTTTTCACATGTACACTTATGAACATAAAACTACTTTATGTCAGCAAATAGCCTGTGAAGTTTATTAGTAGCTCCTGTTGAGTTCTTACTTACAAGAGACTAAAAATCACTTGCAAGGTTTTATAATCTGTGCAAATATTCATAAAGCATGATACTACTTGTGTTTAAAGATGAGTTTTAAATAATTTGGTAGTATATATTTAAATCTACAACTGGCAGTTTATGGAAGAACAAGGAAAACAGCACATTGCCAGCTACAGTTTTTAAGAAATAACATGTATGCTAACAAATTAACTTACGTTTTATAATTACAAATGGCTTCTTAACAATAGTTTAGAACCTTATGGCACTTAAGAATGCAGTATAATTTTTCTTACAAATATTCACTGGTTTTTTAGACTATAAAGAGATGGTGGACAAGTAAAAAAAATCATGGAAAAGAAAATGAAATTACTATAGTAACAAAAATAAAAGTACCGACATCCTAATAAAATGCAAGGTAATGTGTTCAAGTCTAATGGACATTTAGTAAAACATGCTAAAACAAAATGAATCATCCACTTCTTTTAAATAAGCTGTCACTTGGCAATAGCAAACCATTTTGCTTTAAAAGATCATTTCTTTAGTCAAAGTAGAACCAAATTTAGAACCATTACTCAAGTAAACAATGAGTTCCAGTTTTCCTCAATGACTTTAAAATATTCAGTTACCAAGAAATGTGGAGTAATGCATAACTGCCTAGTGCTTTATATTTAATGCATATATTTTTGTTTTTTTAGAAGGACATGTAATATCTAGCACAAGAAAGAAGATAAAAAAATGTATCTTTCTTTAAATCATTATTCAGGAACCATGGAAAGCATAGAATATCATTTAGATAATTTTTGGATGTTAACATTAGTATATTCACTAACATTTTTAATAAGCACAAGTAAATCAAGCCAGTCAAAATGAAAAATACTATCAAAACATGTCATGCAAATTTCATACAGGACATCCAAAAGAACATCGTTATAGCCTTGTTATAACTCCTACATTAGCACCATTTTTATATCTAAAAACACTTTGAAAAAGCAAACAAATGTCTTAAAACCTGAAATTATTATAAGGAGATATAAAAAAATCAATATGCACTAAGGGTGATACTAAATATTTGTCATTTATGTGCATCAACACTGGGAAGCTTGCTGTACTACTAAAAAAATAAACTGATGTGCTTAACTCTATCCATGCTTAGCATAGCAGAACTGGATAAGTAGCTTCTTCCAGCATTAACCAGCCCACGTAAAAAAGATATAAACAGTAAATATCTTTTAACAGGCCCCCAAATATCATGATAGTAAAAGCATTTGTTTTGCAAAGTTATTACAGCCCCAGCCCTAAAGCCATTTAGCAGGAAGAATGTCCAGGTGATTCACTAGAGCGTGTAATTTATACCCCTTAAAAGTACCAAAAAAGTGCAGCCCTTTATTTAAAATGTGAAGCATTTGAACTTATATCCAATAGACAGTATCAGTACTCTGTCCAGACATTCACTACACTCCAGCATCTAAACATCATTCATCCTAGTAATCATGGTGCATATTAAGGAGGGAGAGAGCTAAAAATATTTTTAAAAACCAAGTTTTTCACATGTACACTTATGAACATAAAACTACTTTATGTCAGCCCAGCTGGTGTGGCTCAGTGGTTGAGCATCAATCCATTAACCAGGAGGTCACTGGTTCAATTCCTGGTTAGGGCACATGCTTGGGTTTCAGGCTCAATCCCCAATGCGGGACATGCAGGAGGCAGCCGATCGATGTTTCTCTCTCGTTGATGTTGCTATCTCTATTCCTCTCCCTTCCTCTTTCTCTAAAAGCAATAAATAAAATTAAAAGAAACTACTTTATGCCAGTATTAGAGGAAAAAAGTGCACAATTCAATTGGCAAGATCTTTCCTTTTTTTTTTGATTATTGATTCACTGTAATCAAGAGCAACCAAAGCTACTTGTCAGTTCAAAGTACCCAACAAAATGTTGAGTCTTCATGACATTTCAAGTTAAAAAGCAATGCAGCTTTGGGGTTTCAGAAAATTGGGCTCCTTTTATGCGGCACGAAGTTCTTCACCTCACTATTTCCATGAGTCCACACTTGTCAAAGTGCAGTTAACCCAAAATTGCAGCGACAGTATATCATGCCAGCTGAATCCAGCCATGTATCTGAGATAGGGTCATATTTCTGCACGGTGTTCAGATAGGAAGACCCTGAGTGACCACCGACTACATAAAGGTAGTTATCGATTACTGCAGCACCAACTCCTAGGAAAGGTGAATAAAAATGGGGAAAAAAACACATTAAGCATCTAGTAGACTTCTCACTAAAAATAAGTGAATTTGTATTTTAATGTTTTCTTAAAATACATTTCAACAATCCATTATTAATTATACAAGCAATATAGTAATACTAGAGGCCTGATGCACATTCGTGCACTACGGTGGGGGGGGGGGGGCAAGAGGGGTCCTCAGCCCAGCCTGTGCCCTCTCGCAGTCCAGGACCCCTCAGGGGATGTCCACCTGCCAGCTTAGGCCCGATACCCCAGGGAATCGGGCCTAAGCCGTCAGTCAGATATCCCTCTTGCAGTCCTGGGCTCTCGCAGTCTGGGACCTCTCACTCCTTACCGCCCGCGTGCAGTGGACGCTGGGCGGCTCCCACCACCACCACTGTGCTCGCCAGCTGTGAGCCTGGCTTCTGGCTGAGCGGTGCTCCCCCTGTGGTAGCACAGTGAACACCATGGGGCAGCTCCTGCGTTGAGGGTCTGCCCCTGGTGGTCAGTGCGTGTCATAGTGACCGGTCGTTTTTCATGTTAAGGTTTTTATAGGATGAGCTCACTGGGAAAATATCCCTGAATAAAAAAGTAAAGTAAGAGCTGAAGGCTTCCTTCACCTCTTTTCCCCAATCATACTCTCCCTTTCCTACACCACAGAAAAATATTAAAAACACAGCCCTGTCCCGGTGGGTGTGGCTCAGTGGTTGAGCGTACACCTGTGAATCAAGAGGACACCAGTTGGATTGCCAGTCAGGGCACTTGCCTGGGTTGGAGGCTTGATCCCCAGTAGGGGCATGCAGGAGGCTGCAAATCGATGTTTCTATCTCTCTCTTCCTCTCCCTTCCTCTCTAAAATCAATAAAACATTTTCTTTTAAAAAAGCAGCTCTGACCAGGGTTGCTCAGTGGTTAGAGCATCAGCCCACACACCACAGGGTCTCAGGCTATAGTCCAGTCAAGGGCACGTACCTTGGTTGCAGGTTCCATCCCTGCCCAGGTTGGAGCGTGTGTAGGATGTAACCAATCGATGTGTCTCTCTCACATCAATGTTTCTCTGTCTCTCTCGCTCTCTCTCTCTCTCTCTCTCTCCCCTTCCCCCTCATCCCCTTCCACTCTTTGTAAAATAATGAAAATAATGAATGGAAAAAATATTGTTGGGTGAAGATCAACACACACACACACACACACACACACACACACACACACATAAATAAATAAATGCAGTAATTCCTTTCCTACAATTTGTGTTAAACTATCTGTCACTATTATTAGATTGCAAATTCCTTGAGAGTTGGCACCATTTTAAAATTCCTCTTTGTATTCCTTTAATATCTGCACCAAACTGTTCATATGGTAAGTACTTAATGCTGACTTGGATGAGTAAAAAAAGAAAAAAAGAAAAAAAAGAGAATGCAGTATACTATACCACCCACCTTAACTATTTATTAATCGGAATGTTTGTAACACAACGTGTTTTTTTTTAACCCTCACCCAATAATATTTTCTCCATTCACTTCTAGAAAAAGTGGAAGGGAGGAGGAGAGACAGAGAGAAAGAAGCATTGAGGTGAGAGAGGCACATCAATTGGTTGCCTCCCACACGTGACGACCAGAACTGGGAATCGAGATTGTAACTGAGGTATGTGATCTTGACCAGAATTGAACCTGTGACCCTTCAGTCCATGGGCCGGGCCAATGCTCCAACCACTGAGTCAAACCAGCCAGGGCCTCAACGTTTTTAATGAATAATGAACAAACATTTAAAAGAAGAATGATGCAGTATATATCTTTTCATATGTTTTCTTCTCATTTGATATCTACATATTTTTTTCAAGAAATTACTCATTTTCATCAAGTTTTCAAATACAAGTATCCCATTTTTCAAAGTTCACGTTACACCATTTTGCTTTACAAAAGACCTATATTACAGTTGACCCTTGAACAATGAAGGGGTTAGGGGTGCCAACACCTGCACAGTAAAAAATTCGATTCCCCCAAAACTTAAGAGCCTACTACTGACTGGAAGCCTTATCAATAATATAAACAGTTGATTAACCCATATTTTTTAATTACATGTATTATATCCCGTATTCTTACAATGAAGTAACCTAGAGAAAAAATATTAAGAAAATCATAATGGCCCTAACTAGTTTGGCTCAGTGGATAGAGCGTCGGCCTGCAGACTGAAGGGTCCCAGGTTCAATTCCGGTCAAGGGCATGTACCTTTGTTGTAGGCACATCCCAGTAGGGGGTGTGCAGGAGGCAGCCGATAGATGTTTCTCTCTCATCGATGTTTCTAACTCTCTATCCCTCTCCCTTCCTTTCTGTAAAAATTTCAATAAAATATATTTTTTTTAAAAAAGAAAATCATAATGAATAGAAAATATACTAGTATATACAGTATTTTTTGAAGAAAATACCACACAAATAAAACCATGTATATGTGGACTAAAGCAGTTCAAACCCATGTTCTTCATGGGTCAATTGTACCTGTTTCACTAATCAAAAGAAATCTGAAGAGGATTTTTGTTTTTACAAAGAAATAGCAAAAAGCAAAACTAGCATTCAGCATTTATTTTGTTGCAGCAAACTGTTATAGAGGCAGCATGCACCAAGCAGCGAGAGTGACACTGACAAGCTCTTTCCCTGGGAACTACCATCAGCATCTCAGCATCAAGCCACCTAAGGTAACTGCTTCTAGGCTTTAGCCACTTCGGTTTAGAAAAGGTTTCATAATAATGCTCTTTTTTTGAGGAGCAGGGGAAACCTATATATTGAAATATTCAAAAGTATCTGTTGAGCTACATAATTTATGCTCTAAAAATTTTACTTTATATTTTATAGTTTTAAAAAGAACAAGGATGCCTAAATTTTTTACATTCTCTTTTTTTATGGCTTTCTCTCGCAATGATGCTACACAAACTATAGTAAACAACTAATAGTTCATTCCATTGTTCCTTTCAGTATCCTTTGCATGTTTATGTTTCACAAGTTTCTTAAATCACAAAAGCAAAGAATACTAACATATTCCATCAGTAACTTAAAACTTTCCCTTTAAAATGATGTTACTTAGTAGAACTGAAAGGTAATTTCTTCTTTTCCTTAATGTAATTGTTTTTCTCTAGGAACCCTGAAATTCAGACTTTTCTTAACTATACCCCTTGAGGAGAGGACATTTGAAAGTGAATATAGAGGTGCTGATGTGAAATAAAAAACAAAATAGAACATCCAAGGATTCTGTGTCTGTGTATGTGTATAACATATAAAAAGATGACATTTGTTATATGGACAAAAAGAGTTTCTATAAGATACATTCTATTACCAGCATATCTCAAAATGTGTTCTCCAAGTTTAAGAAATGATAATATGCACACTGGCATATTAAAACCACAGTAAAGAAATCTATGTGGTTTTGTCTAATCTCGTTGTCTTGCAAGTTTACCACAAAAGTGTGTTTTTTTCTGAACAAGTAATACTCTTTACTATTATATTCCAAAGAACTACTATTCCAAGAACATCACTATAAAAATATTATCCTCTATGTTCGAAATCAGTAAATTATTATTACCTGTTCTGGGTTCTTTCATTGGTCTACACGCAGTCCACTGATTTTGATGAGGATCATATCTTTCAATGCTTGACAAATGTGAGACACCGTTATGTCCACCTACCACAAAAATAAAGCCCAGCATGACACCCACACCAAAGTGGATCCTTTTATCTGCCATAGATGCAACCATCTCCCAGGAATCCTTACTTGGATCATAACGCTCCACACTGCAAATATTCACAAAAGAATAAATTAATTCACATATTTTTTGTGTTACTCTTCCTACTAAATCAACACTAAACCCCACCTTTGAACTTTTAAAAGTTAAATAGACAGATATAAAACCAGAGTAATTTGTCCCAAATGTTTTGATTTTGCTGGTGAGATTGCAGGGATAAAAGTTTACCTTGTGGAATGGGTGCAAAAATAGCCATATGTTATCCCATTATATTGTGTAAGCAGCAAGGTATATTAATGTTATAGAACTTTTAGAGCCAGAATACCTGGGTTCAAGTGCTTAATGCACCATATTTAGAGCTGAATGAACCCTAGCCCTACCACTTTGGATTTGTGTAATCCTGGGTAAGTCATATTTCCTCTCAGCTGCGAAAATGGCAATAATACAACCTCAAAGGATCCATGGAAGAATAGTCAAATGAGTATACATGGGAAAGAAAATCACAAACTGAATACAGATGTATTCTAAGGACATTAAGAGTCTTCTTCTACACAGCCAAGAAAAAGGGAAAAGAAGGAAAGAAGAGGATTTTTTTCTTACAGGAGAATTCACAGTGGTTTACTGCAAAGCAAACACTGCAGATTTCATAGCAAAAATTGGCTAATCATAATAATCTCAGTGATTTAGGAGAATTCAAGGATGTAAGTCAAATCTGCATTCCAGAGAACACTTGGCATTTTCAAGCTATCCTATGGAAATCTGAATCAAATCAGAATTTCTACAAGAGCTTCCCTAGAACATTCCAGAAGGCCATGTAGCCTATGCTTTGCCTTGAAGCAGTACAAAGGTAAGCTTTTTAAGCTTGTTCTGGTCTTAATCTAACCTCTCAAAAAATCCTAAAGCATTTGAATGTCAATAACTTAATTCTGGATTTAGAATAGAGACTAGACTGTAGACTAGACTAGAATATAGACTAAATTATAACTTTCTGAAAGGATACCACAATAAAAACCTTTAGAGCAAAATCACTGGATTAGAGTCAATAAACTGTAGCAAAAACTTAAAACATCAAGAGTATCTCAAAACTAAAATACTTAGTCTTTCATCTTATAAATCTCTGCCAGCAATTTTTCAAAATATAGAAATGTATGCCTGGGCCCTAGCCGGTTTGGCTCAGTGGATAGAGCGTTGGCCCTCAGACTAAGGGGTCCCGGGTTCAATTCCAGTCAAGGGCGTGTACTGGTTGGGTGCGGAGGCAACCAATTAACGCATCTCTCTCACATGGATGTTTGTCTCTCCCCCTTCCTTCCACTCTCTCTAAAAATCAACGGAAAAATATCCTCAGGTGAGGATATTTTTTAATAAGTAAATATACATTTTAAAATTAATAAATATACATACATAGTGTAAGCATATAGGAATTGCATTTTTCACTTTTTTATTCTATTAAGCAGCGCAATAACAGGCCATTTACACACACACACACCACCCAAAATCTAGTTGTCTAACTTAATCTTAATTTCAGATTTCTGAATTTTAAAATCCATCCATTTATATTGATTGAATGAATATAAAATTTAGTAAGCATTTGACTCTTAGGTTTGTATTAAATCCCCACATAAACAATTATAATTATACTTATAGGGCAGATTAAATTTCCAAAACGTCTATTATTACTTTAAAAATTAAAAGGGGAAGTTTATACACACAAATTGTTTAAAAACCAGAAATCATCTATACTAATAAAAGGGTAATATGCTAATTAGACACAGGCAAACCTTCCGGACAAAGCCATGGTGGTGGGGCCGAGGCAAAGGCAGGTTTGGGGTGATCAGGCCGGCAGGGGGGGGCAGGGGGGCGATCAGGCCA